TCTGAATGTATAAAAAAAGATACAGAGACTAAGACATTACTTTGCATTATTTTAAAACTAAAGAGAAAAGTGTCAGTCCAAGTACTCCAGAGCCAAAAATAAAAATAGCGGAAATAAAGGCAGAGCTGATCAGTAGGTGTCTAAAATTACTGAAATGCAAACAATAAATTAGATGCAGGTTTTAAAGGAAATTGGATATTCAAAATCCTGTTCAGTGCCAAAAGCTATGGGTTAGTAGTAACAAAACAAGCAGGATTATAAATTATTTCAGCATCATGTAAAACCTCCCTGCTAGCCTTAGACCAAAGGAGAAAAATACAGATAATCTACTCAGTTCATATCTTGAATAAGCAAATAAATCCCCTAATGGGACTTACTATTTTTGAACAGAGATTCACACGATGCACATATTCCTTGTGATCCCTTCAAGTAGTAGTGTTGCCTGAGCAGGAAAAATGCAGGAGTAAGTTGCACTGGTTTTAAACATGTTCATGTTTTACCAAATGCTGCAACTGAATATTCTGCAACCAAAACTGCTGCACACAGGAAAAAAAAAAGGCCCAGTCAAGTCTTACTTCCATGTTAATTTGGGTTTATGTGGTTGGTTTACATATTATTAAAGCCACCCATCTGATCTATAACAGCAGCCCTGCTGACACTGCCTGACCCAGTGTGACAATCTGGATAGAAATTGTAGGGCTGGCTGTTCAATGTCTGTGACTTTAACAGCATTGCTTTGGGCCTGGAATCAATTCTCTCTGTTTACAGACCATTTCACAGCCCTTTACCTGCAACATCACTTGTGTCAGTCCCATAAATACTTTGGTGTATATAATGCTTGAATTAGCATAATGGTTTAGGCACAGAGCTTTAAGCACAAAGAAGGACATGTCAACATGTTCTCTTCACTTAAGCAATTAAGAGCCATTATGCTGCTTCAGTGGAAATATCATCAAGGTTAAAGACAATCCCAAACACCCCTCTAACCTTTTTATTCTAAGTCTAATAAATGAGGCATAGAAATTGAAATGTTAGTAAACAGTGCTACTTGCAAGCTCTTTTTGTATCATGTTTAATCAGACCTCTCATTCACCACTTGTGAAGTGTGAGGGAATGGGCACGTTAAACACAAGTCAAAAGGATTATTTATCCTTTTGCAAAAGCTCATCTCTCTGCAGAGGTTTGTTTTGCATTTAATGTCGAGTTCTGGATGCTCTGACATGGCAATGTGAAAAAATAAAGTAAATGTAGGCAAAGGTAACTCATAGACTGGGTCACGCAGAGTAATTCTTGCCCAAATCTTTCTTTGTATAAGTGGGTACTCTCTGATTTATTTTATTTATTTTTTTGAGTGTTTACCCCAGGCTTTGCATCTCTCTCTCTCTGTGTTACTTAGGAAAACGATCCAGTGGAAATGTGTTACCATAATGCCTTTATTTCTATTTTAAGCTGGGAAAATCCAGCCAAGGCCAGAACAGTTGCTGGTGGGTAATTCTGGTGAGATGCAGCACAGGGGAACCGAGGCACTGGATTTTCGGTGCTTGATTTTGGGGTGTCTGGGTGTTTGTTTGTTCTAAGTTCATTCTCAGGACTCAGTGCCCTCATTCTGAAAGCTTTGAAAAGTCTTAGGAAAAAATGGCAGAGAAATTGAGCATCTGTAGCAGAGAGAGAGATAAACCCCTGGTAGGGAAAGGCCCAAACAGCACAGAGAAGACACAGCACTCCAACAACTATGTTTGTCTACCAAACAGCCTCCTCAGCTAAATCCTCCCTTTCCTGCTGCAGTATTTGGAGTATTTCATGTTTGGGAAACACATGAGCTCTATTGTAGGTTAACATAAATGTTGAAGATGATACAACTTTTATTAATGCTTTGATGAATTTTTAATTTTTTTATTAATGCTTTTATTAAATTTTTAACTAATGTTTAAGTCACTTCCCCAAATCTTTTGGAAAAAGAGAGTGGGTGGGCAGCGTGGGCTCCCTGGGTTTTCTGAAGGCTATAAAAATTAGACTTGAAGAAACAGTTTGCAGTGTCACCTCCCATCTTAGAGCTTCTTTTCCTCTGCTTTTTTAAAAGCATATTATTTTTATATGCTTTGAAGAGGACAGTTTGAATCCCTCTGATTTCAGTTTTCAAGAATCTCCCCATGGTCCATGGGAACTTGCTGAATTTCTGTGTGGATCATCTCATCCTATCTGCCCTCAGCTCCATCCCCTCCCTGCTGCCACTCCAGGCTGGGATATGGCAGTAGCTGGAAATGGCTCTTTCACTTCAGGAGAGGTTTAAACAAATCTCACCTTCATTTTAATACTATCAGCTGAAGCTGCAGACCCAGCAGCCTGGCAGGAGGGAATCACCTCCTTATTTTATGCCACCCCTCAGGACCATCCTGAGATTGCCAAATTACAGCAGAGATTTCCTAGGAACCAATTAAATTGGGCTCACTTTTAAAGAGATCCAGCTATGGTAACTTTATAATTGAGCCATTTTGTTCTGCTCTCAATCAGCCTCAAAAGGAAGGACAAATTGCTCATGTTGCAGTTTAAAATCTGACAATAATAAGCAAACATTAGAGCTTGGTTGGATCTGCTCCCAATCCCATATAATAACTTCCTTGGAAGGGTGGTTTGAGACATACGGGAATGCCTGGGGGCTGAGAATTTGATTTTGTTCTCCTCACAAGTCCTGTGATCCGCAATCTCTCACTATATATCAGAGGGTGCTTGGCAGCTTCTCATGACTAACCATGAGTGTCATCCCATCCTTCAGGTGAGAGGAGCAGGGAGCGTGGCCAGGCTGAGCTGAGGCACCAGTGCATGGCCATCCATGTTCCATAAATCATAGGGGTTGATAAAAAGCTGCAGATTCCTCACTCCAGGTGTACAGTAGCACCAGGGTTTCTGTTCCACATTCAGATCTCATGAGATCTCTCTTATCCTTCCCACAAAGTGATGTTCTTCCATTGCAAGTGTTGCTCCCATGTATCCTGAAGAAAATAGGATGGAGGAGAGTCACTGGGTGGAGTTTGGAGCTTGGATGGGAAAACTGTTGTAGAGAGATAAGAGTGATAGGGAAGGGTCACTGCAGGAAGAGGAACAGAGACAGGACATCATTGCATTCCTACAGCACTTTTCTGGCAGATCCCTAAGAGTCCCTTTCCTCTTCCATGTTTAGAGCTCCAAAGATTGGGTTTGGTACCTAGTAACACTTTAGCACCTTTTGAGGATCTCAAAGCAGATATTAATTAAGCTCCCAAGCACTTTTGGGAAGGCAGTAAACAGCCCAATTGCCACTTTATAGGAAGGAAATGACCAGCCAAGGTCATCTACTGAAGCCGAGCTTGGAATAGCATGGAGGTGATAAAACGGGGATGACACAGCTGGCTTTTTCCAAAGAGAGATGGCCCAAAATAAGAGCTCACATGAACTTCTATTCAAATTTGAGGGGAAAAAATGTGCAAAACAATTCATAAGAATTTATCCATCTACACCACAAAGTCTCTTATATTTTCCAGCCCTAAATCTGATCCCTCTCACTCCATCCAAGACAGGACCTGTGCTTGATGAACAAACACAGTAGATATTGTGCTCCTGGTGGGAGGTTTTGATTGGTAATTTTATTTTATTCTTCTAGCCTGATTTCCTAAGAGAAATGTTTTCTGTGGCTAAGTATTAGCCTCATTTTCTCATTACCTCTGCTAGGACCAAAACTCCGTGGTAGAAATAAGAACCAGAGCAACCTCTGCCCCACTGTGGGAACTGTTTCCTCAGGCTGGGAGTAGCTCAGTAGTTACTTTCCAGGGTTGTGGGACCTACCACAACAAGTCATTCCATCAAGAAATAGAGAGCAGGCACAGCCACTACCGTTCTCATTATTTTATCTCTCTCATTTGTCATTCAAACATCCCTGTCCACTTTCACCATACAAAAGCAGTTATAATTGAAATCATGTTCATATGTTTTGAGGCAAGAGCGACTCTGTGATCATTTGGCTCTACCCAGGCTGTAACAAAGGCTGCCACAGATGCTTATTCCACTTTCTTTTCTGCACAAAGAAATAAAGAGCAGTTGCACAAATGACATGTATGTCAATCTTTAGGTCACAATACTTCCTGCAGTTGTATCCCAAGTAGGAAACATTAAGCTAAAGGCATTTAAGAATTAACAGTCTGTACCCACGACAGGAAATGGAGTTTATAAAACAGGTGGATGAAAACCAGTATTCACTTGCATCACATTAAAGCAAATCCATTTATATTTTATTTCCTATACACTGACTTGATGTGCATTTTAACAATAATCAGGCTCTGCAGTTCCTGTAGGATTTGGGATATTTGCAGGTGGGTTGGTATAGCCTGGTAGGACTTCAAAGCCGGGTTGGACGGGGCTTAGAGCAACCTGGTCTAGTGGAAGGTGTCCTTGCCCATGGCAGGGGGTGGAACTGGATGAGCTTTAAGGTCACTTTAAACTCAAACCATTCTGTGATTCCATGTTGTGATTCTATGAACTTCCATGTAAGAAATTGTCCATCACAGAAGAAAAGGGAGACACTGTCCAGAAAATTATGTACTACATCAGCCAAGGGTTTGTCTTGCTACCCTGAATCCACACATAGGTCATAGGATTCTCTTGTAATGCCATAAATTGTACTTCAACCCGGGGAAAAGTTAGTGCCTGGTGCTCCAGGCGGTGGCAGTTCCCTGGATTTTTGTCCAACTGCTCCCTTGTATCAGTATTGCCATCCTGGGTGTAGATTAACCATGATTGAAACAACGCCCATTGGAAGCCTTAAAACCTTAACCACCAGTTTTACTTCTAAAATAAAGTAAACTGCCAAAAGTTCTGATAAAAGTGACAATTTATATTTTTAAGTAGTACGTCCAGAATTTTCCTATAGCTGTAGACAAAGGAATTCTTACCCAGATAAGTATAAGAGCACCAATAAATTTAAGGTAGCTTATGCAAGTTAGGCACTAATGAATGTCATCTTCTGTTTTGTCATGAAAAAAGATCTTTCTGCTGCTAAAGGAGACTGATTTAGATTATGAATAGCTGTAGTGATTTGCAAAAATGGCTCCAGAGAGATAGACTGAGATTCCATATACTCATGGCACTTGAGGTTTCTGCCCTTTTTGTTGAAAATTAATTTGTCCTGTGGGTTATTGGATTCTAGCTCAGCCAATGTATATTGCTCAGTCATCACAAATTTACTTAAAATTTAGTGTAGCTGAAGTTCATTCAACAAGACGAAAGTCCACACTTGAAAGCTTCTAAAAATCTTTTTAAAAAACTGGCTGCTGATGTAATTGGAAGCACTGGGGTTGAGGTGGATTTACAAAGTGTTTTGCAGGTGTCAATAAATGGTTTATTATATTAGAGAGACTCTCCAGTTTCCTCTTCGGATGGTGAAAACAAACGGGTGGTTTCTGTCCCCTTGGTGCAGGGGGCTTTTAGTGGGTTTGCCCCAGTCTTACATTCCTAAAATGAGAAATGCCTGGGAACATATACTACAGCTTCCTACACTATTTCTTTAATTTGACACATACTCGTTTTTATGGAATAGAGAGAGAAACTCTGGTTATAAAATGTCAAATGCCTCCCCTTTCATACCATTTCTTTCCTTTTTTTTTTCACTTCTTTTTTCCGCCCCTTTCTTTTCTTTGTGTGCCTTTGATGTATGAGTAGAAATTTCATTTGTATTCTTGGAATCCCCATCTGAGTTTTCACTCTCACGTCTTAGGATTAAACATTGCCTTTGCTTGTAAATTTGATGTCCCAAATAGGTTAAGGTTAAAAAAAAAAAATTCTAGTTCTGTTCAAATCAGCTTCTTGTTTAAATTAAAAGGCTGTAACTAATTTGATTGATGGGTCCAAGTCATCTGTTTGCCCCACTTGGTGAATCTGTGGAATAGGGACTGGGGGTAAAGGTTTTCAGACACAAAACCATACAGAGGTAACTGGGGTGCAACACCCACGTGGGCAAGGATGTAAAGAGGGTGATTAAAGAATAATCAGATATTATACACTCCCAGCAAAGTGGCTTTTCATTAACTATAAAGATAAAAATCTTCTCAATGAGGAATAATTCTCCTTATTTAAAGCTTTATCAAAAACAGTTTTATGTCTCTTTTAAATGATGGGGATTTTAAAAAAGAAAAATATAAAGGCAACTGAAACTGGTGGCACATGGGAAGAGCTCATTTTGTGCACAACCCCCATGGGCGGTTCCCAAGCAGTAAATCTATAAACACTTTGTTTGTGTTCTTTCTACCAGGAATTATGAATTAAAAAAGACAAACAAGGATTTAAAATTCAGTTTAAATTTAATAATAAAACCACTTCATACACATCTCATTAAAATATGAGGAAATGGGAATAAAAATCTTCACAGTCCAAATCTCTCAGGTAGTTCAGGTGGCTATTTTTTATATTTCTGCTTTTTTCCCCTGGCTCTAGTGATAGATCTGAACACAAGTGATCAAGTTTAAGCTCTGAGACTCTCATCTCTTTGCTTGATACACAAGGCTTATACAATTGCAGGAAATGAAATACAGTGAGATAACCAAATCATGACACAATGGACTGGAAATTTTAGATTAATAAACCTCTTTCGGAAGAGAACTAAATAACTTTTACAGTTTTATCTGTGGCTATTTGTTTCTTTGAAGATTTATGGTCCTTGCAACAGATATGCATCTTATCCTTCACTCTTCAGATTAAAGGCAGATGATTTTAAACAGCCTCCTGACTGGCATGAGCTGGAATTGCAGATGATTTTCCTTTAAAAAAATGCTAAAAGTGAACTTGCAAGTCAAATGAGAATATCATTGCATATGTCAGAGAGGGCTGAGGATAAAATCTACATGCAGCTAAACAAGATCTAATCCTTATTATCACAAGCAGGGATCCTTAGGCAGAGCTTTACCAGCCACGTGCAAACCCTTAACGAGGAATTACAACTTTTCCTGCTGCTGCTGCTGCTTTAATTGATTGATGCTAAAAGTTTAGAAACTCAAATCTAAGGCGCTCTCACAAAGCTCCTTTAACCAAGCCTTCCCTTTGAAAGCGGGCTCCTCAATTGGAACTGGCAGCCCACATTTTTAGGTTTCAAGCAGCTCTGTCATTCTAGGAGGAATGTGTCTGCCACTTCACACGATAGCCTGGGCTGAAAGACATGTACTTTGAATCAGAGAATCAATAGAACACTTAATGGACAATTAGGAGAACAGCTGTAGGACTGTCAAAGGCCCATCTGTACACGGCTCCCAGAGCCTGGGCTGGACAGCGAGCTCAGCTCAGCGCCCCAGGGCAGAGCCCGGCCCCCTCCCACCCACAGCTCCTGCTGATAAAGTATTCCTGTTTCATTACAAATTTTAACACGTGTAGAAAATTATGGAAATTGCTCGGGCCATTTGTCAACTTATATCATGTGAATTGATCAATAAATTTCGCCACTTTGTTGTTAATGTAGATAAATTTTGGCATTTAATTAAGCCACAGCGAAAACGCGGCCACTTTTAATTTCGGCAGATGCTGCCTTTTCATCTGTAATACAGGGGTACATTGGCAAATACAATCCAGCTAAATATTTATAGACAACATGACAATTCCTAAAAGAGTTATCATCAATGATCTTGGTTCTGAAGCAATTAGCATTGTTTGAAAGAGCTCGTGTGGAAAGCTGGAATAAATTCTGAGCAGCAGATGAAGTTCTGGCTATGCAGGTACATTGAATATATAAAGCAAATAAATCTACATGTTATAAACACTTATGCCCACACTGATTATTATGGGAATACTGTTCTACAGTATATATGGGTATAAACATGGAAGTGTATGTGCACAAACATGGAAATATATGTGCACAAACACAGAAATTCTGACAAGCCAAGGTACAAATTCCCACATCCATAAATATTTGTGCTCTCCGTGTAACATGTTTACAGATATCTCTGAATTAGACTTGTATAGTGATATTATCTTTTTAGCAAAAACACAATGAGAGAGACTGAGCTCAGGAAGTCACATCACGGAAGGAAACATCTCACATATAAACACTTTATGTAGGAGCACTAAGAGTTGACAAAAGCATTGCCGTTCATAACAATAAACATATTTAACTTTTTAAAATAACAACTAAATTTCTAAACCACGACAATCAGGGATCAGCCTTCAAACTTCCAGATATTTTTTAAGCACACACAGGTTTGGCCAGACAATAAGCAACATAAATGAACATTTTAGGCTTTCTATATGGCCTTAGGGAGCCCGGGATGAAATCCTGCCTCTGACAGCCAGAGGCCCCAGACACAGCACTCAGCAGCAAGACTTGACATGATGAACTGCTGAGGCTCATCTGAGTGGGAAGGGGGAGTGGGCCTGGTGCTGATATTTCCAGTGCCCCTGGGGTAGGAAAAGCCTTGAAATCCCATTGCTGGTTCTGCTATAATCCCCCTGACCGAGCAGGCTCCCGCCCTGACCTGCAGTTTTTTGCTACAGAACTTGTTTATCATTTAGAGGACACTGGTGCTGCAGCAGGAACTTGTGTAGGGAGAAGCCAGGGAACAGGGAAATCAGTGGTGCTCACACCCTCTGAATCCTCATGAAGGACAGTTCAGCATCTTTCCACACTGCCACAATCCCATATTCCAGCACCAGGCAGAGGGCAGACATCCAGCACCCCTGTAGGTAAAATTCCTTTTGTTTGACTCCATTGTGGATTTCTCTGTTTTCGCTGCTGGGTAAAATCATCCAACTTGACAAAAAGAAAAAAAAAAAGAGTGCACTCAGACACACCAATCATTTTTAAAGTGGAGTCTCTGGGTTTGTGGATTTGTTACCACTGCGGCGTGTTTTATTTTCAGGTTTTCAGAGAAACTGGTCAGCAGATTTCCTGATGTTGTTGGGGAGTGCAGGGCAGAAGACTGGAATACTGTTCAGACAGACTAACTGGCTTTTAGCCAAGGATTTGCAAATCACAGAGACAGAACAGGGAATCCAAATGCAGTAACTGTGTGGTATTTGAACCACAGGGAAATCTGGACAGGACAGAATATACTCCATAAATATAGAACATTCTAACCAAATCTTGAGTCATTGAAATTATCTCATTGGCCTTTCCTCTCAAAGAGAAAGCTTTGTCTCAGCTTACCAAGGCTTTTTTTGCATTTCACAGCATTGCATTTACTCTTCCTGGACTGGATCAACATGAGTTCATCAGTGCATGCCCCAGATTCCTGTTCCTGATGGCACCACGATGCAGGATCTGCTCTTGCTGAGGAGCAGGTTTCACATCCAGGCTCTCAGTGCAGAGATGGGCTCTCTGTGCCCAGCCTGCCTGCACAGAGATGGGCTCTCCTGACGCGGATACGCTCCCCAAACCTCCAAAGAGCCTGTGCATAGGTACCTACAAGCACTCACCCGTACACCAGGAGGAGATCCAGAGGGATTGTGATGGGTCTCTGCAGCTTCATCCCACAAGTTGTAACTTGTCCATGACCTGATGTGGAGAAAGGCCTGTTGAGATCGTCTGTGTGAGGTAATTTTTTATCTTTTCCTGTGGCCCACGCATTTAATGACAAACTTTTTTCTGTTGAAATTAGAAGAAATTTGGACAAAAAGCAAACTTAAAGGTCTAAAAAATTCTCCTTGTCATCTGCTGCAGTTCAACGTCACGTGCACCTGTAGTGGGTCAATGCTGACCCCCAGTACTGAGCTGTTGTGACATTCACCCTCTCTCCCCATTTCTGCAGAGCATGAAAGGACCCATCCCAACTCCTGGCACAGCACCAAGCCCCTGAACACCAACCTGGCAACCACAGATCCATCATGGAAGTTGGCCTTGCTGTAGTGTCTTCATGGGTGAGGTGAAAAATGCGTGGCAGTTTGAGGCAGCAGTGCTTGTTTCTGATGGAATTATATGGAATATTTATTAAGTTCTTCACGGTAAAGACCTAAACTCTGGATAGGAGGGGATCACACCGCAAAGAGCAAAAAAAAAGTCTATTAAACAATCTTTGTTTTTTAAAAAATCTCAATAACAATGACCCTCATTTGTCTATTTCACCAGCGGAGCATTTTTGTGGGAGATCCCTATTTATCTGATTTATTAGAAATGCTCCATTGAGACAGAAAGCATTTTTCTAATAAACCTAGAGGTTAGCACCATTGTTTGCAGTACAGCTGACCCTTGGATTTGCTGTAAAACCAGAATCATTAGAAATGCTCCATGGGTTATATTGGAGCATTTCTAATGAAACAGAGGGTCAGCTCTATTGAAATAATGTAAAATGTCCAGATTCATGAGAAAAACTCCATTGAAATGCACAGAGCGTTTCTAATAAATCCAGATTTTAGTGGAGCTCAACCCTGAATCCATTAAAACCTTATGAAAAAATAGTTCCTGAGCATGCACCTGAAGGACTTTTTTTCTGTGTTAATCTCTCATTTATTTTAAAATGTGTTGTAAAAATAGCAAAAGGCATCGGTGAAAATTTGTTATTTAAAGTCTGCCATTCCCTCTCCTTACACACGAGCAGAGCCACTGCTGGCACCAGGACACAGCCCTGGAACCCCAGAACCTCAAGCAGCTTCCAGGAAGAGGGACAAGGAATAACAGACAACCCTGGGTTTACTGTAGTCTGTCCCACATTAGGCACATTCCAAGTGGGAATTTCTAAGCTAATGCTCTATTATTGCACCTCTTACCTTCCACCTGCTTTACAGGTACAGCACAGTATGTACCAGCCAGGTACAACTCTGGGGAAGAGTTTGGAGAAGGGTTTGGATCAGTGATCTTCTGACAATCCCCTGCCCTGAGGTAACACATCCCAAAAACTCTGAAATCAAAGGCCACAGGGATGACTGGATTTATGGGCTCAGGCAGTAGACCCTGAGTGAATGGGTTCCTAAACCTGCTGCAGGAGGTGAAAGAGCTGGGTTGCTCAGGCCAGGATTGATCAGAGCCATGTTATGTTGGGCTGTTTCTGGCTGATGATTATGATGATTGTCTGAAGGCAGGGTAGAGGAAACACCTGGAGGTTTGGACATCACTCTGTAAGAGAGGCAGCAGCGTTTGAACTGTAAAACTCTCCCAGCAGCACCAAGAGTGGGAACTGCACTGAGTCCTGAGCACTCAGGGGACCTGGGGACATGGGTGGCCTTGGCAGTGCTGGGGGAATGGTTGGACTCGATGGTCTTGAAGTGCCTTTCCAAACTGAAAGATTCCATGATTCTATGATTCTAATCCATGGAGCTCTGTAGCCCAGGTCCCAGCTTCAAAGCCATTGTAAGACATTATAAAAGCTTCCTTTTAGCTCAAGGGCACTGAAAACCAGCAAACCAGTTTTGGACAAAGGAGAACCTCCTCTGTGCTGTGTGACCTGACCCTCCCATCCTGCACATCCCAGGGGCTGCCACAGCAGGGGAGTGTGAGCAGGGCTGCAAAGCCCTCAAGCACCTTCCCCCTTTTGCAGCTTTACAGCCAACCTTAAATGTGTTTCAGAAGTTTGCTTTAAATTAGGCATGGAAAGACAATACATCCACCACATCCCCTTACAAGGCTCTTCAAGGAACTGGGCTTGTGTGTGTCGTAGGGTTTTATAGCACCATTCTGTCTCCAGGTCCCCCTGCTTTCAGCAAACAGCAGAGGAGCTGGCTCACCTCAGTTCTGTTTATTTTATGAATGCACACACTCAGCTTGTCAGTTTATGGTGCTGCTCCTTTTGCTGCTTTGTACCCACCCACACACATAGATATAAAATGTATATGAAAAGTATATTATTATAATTCTATCTCAACAGATTTAATTCTTAAATGCTACATATACTTGTTTAATCTCTCATTTTAGAAGTAGGAAAGGTTAGATTATAACATCAGGTTAGCTCTCTTTGAAGCAGGTAATAATTAAGTTGATTCACTGTTGCAATTACTGTCAAATCCCCCTTAATTACCACGGATTTTATAGCAGCTTCATTATACGTCTGCTGTAATGCATTGTGGCCCAAAGGAGAAGTGTTGCAGGAAATTCTGCATAGCATGTATAATTCTCACCTGCAGTTAAAGCTTCTAGAGAAAGCCTCTGCACTAAATTTATCTTTTTTTGACACTTTCCCCCCTATTATTTAAGGCAGTTGAGCTGGAGTAACACCACTAAAATATACCCCTAACTTCCTAAGTGAAAATTGATCTCTTCACAGGTATTAGGGATAAAAATGGAGAAATTATAAAATTAGCAGCAACTGATTTTTGGGAAACTGCTCGGCAACAATGAAGATCACTTCTGGTCTGGTGTCACAGAGGGAGAAAACTTCTGCCCCATCTCGCGAGTCGTGTACCCCTGAACAACCTCTCCTCACAATGGGAGAAATCCCATTGAACACAGCTTTTAAGGCAGCAAGAATTCGCTGGAGCACTCTGCTATCCATGAATATTTTCATCCATTGTTCCTTTTACATTTTATAAACTGAATTTTCAAAGCAACTCTCCTTTTGAACTGACCTTCCCACTAACTTCTGGAACAACACAGCCTCGTGAAACTGCTGCTTTATGGCTCACGTGTCACTGCTTGTTTCCATTGGAAAAATCTTTACAAATCAGGGGCTGTAAATTGAGCCTGCAACAGTTCAAAACAGATAACTGAATAATGTGTCCCATGGATTCTCTTGCAACGAAGGAATTTACTCCCCAGCATACATTAGATGCAGAAAGGGCTCCAGTGTCAGTGACACTATTGGCAGCTGTGTTAACAGTGAAGGAGCTGGCTTTGTACAGCAGCACAGTTATTAAATTTCTCCAGAGACCATGACTCATTAATCAAATATTCATACATCTCTGTAAATACACACTGAACAGAGAATACCCTCAGAGCTGAGCATCCCAGCACAAGTGCTCTTTCATGTGCCTCTGACAGAGCCCTGAGAACATGCGGTCATGTTTTGCATTTCTAATGCCGTGTGTGCTCCGGAGCACCCTGATCCCTAAAAACAGAACACAAATGATCTTACTGATCCCAAGTGTTACACAGGCACAATTAAAATTGCTTCACTATGGCTTCATACCATCTTTTTAAAAGTGAGGACAGTGAATCGATTCTTCTGTTCTTTGTTTACCATCAGACAAGTAACTTTTTCCCATACGGATGGAGAAACCCAAGGCCATGCTCCTATTAACACAAGAATTTGTATTAGCATGGAAACAACAAACCAATGGTTGGACTGTGAAGGCCAAAAAACTTGATATATTTGCAAAGACATGAGCTTGGATTTAAAAAATGCTGTATTTTGTGTTCCCTTACTGCCATGCAAAGGCACATTTCACCTGCTCCAGGGCAGGCACAGACGCAGCTGAAGTTTCAGCCTTGGTGAGGTTGAGATCACATTTCAGAGCTGAAGCATCTCTGTGATCAGCTGAAGCTCTTCCCCATAAGCCTTTGAAACAATTCAGTTTTCTGTTGGAATTCCCCATCCTAATTCCTGTCCAGGACTTTGGTTTTGACTGTTGCAAGTTCTGATTTACTCTCCTGATTCAGGCTTGCTGTGGTTGAAACAGTCAGATGCCTTCATAAAGGTTTTTTTGTAAATGGGGATGATCACATTGCTGAATGTAGGTTTTTAAAGTTCTGAACTGTTGTGCTGCTGTTCAAGGGAACAAGGGAATGGAAGGGAACAACCTGAATCTTCAAGTCCAACTCACAGAAAGCACGGCCAGCACAGAATCCCAAATGATTTTGGTAAGAGCAGATTTATAGATAAATCCTGGAAAGAGGTGAATCTCAGATTATATTCCTTTATAGTTTTTATAGGCTGGGACATAGAATTCACCTCTGGAACCAGTTCCTAATTGCAGATTTTGAAGGGAAATTTGCATAAAATCCTTATGGCCCGGTTTAAGGATTGAACTCTGATCCAAAAATACTTCCTTTTTTAGTTCCCTTCCTAATAAATACAGATGCTCTCACTTAAGCACCTCCACAGTTCCTATCACATTCATTTCAGTGCATTTTAATTTTCTTTAACAAGGCTTGACATTTACATTTTAGAAAGAAAATCCTCTCCTATATTTAATTAGGGCACTGATTGAGACAGGATGGCAATAAACCTCCTGCACTTCTGTGCAAGACAGAACCCCCACCTTGCTGCAGGAGCCAGCACGTGCCGAAAAAGCTGGTCTGGGTATCTGCTGTGTGTAAACAGCACGAGGCTGTACTTGCAATCCCCTTTGCCTCCTGTCCTCTCAATCCTGGGCATCCTACAAGTGATCCCACTCCCTTGCATGACCTTATCCACTGACCCAGCAAGATCCTGGATGTGGATAATACCTAAAACATTGACTTTAACAATGTTCCCTTGGGGCACAGGGATTCACCAGAAGGATCAGAGTGCAGGAAAGCAGGAGATGGAAAGTAAGAGTAATGTGTGAATGCTGAGCAGAGCTCACAAAGCCCTGGCTGTAACACAGCCTAAACACCCACCAGAGCTGGGTGAAAACAGCAAACATTTATTTGAGCATCTTCTTGCATAAATAAAACCCTGCTGATTTGCTTTGATGGCATTTACGAGCACATTTATTCATAAACATTAGAGTGAGCAAGTTTTTATTTGCAGGAGTGTTCATGGAAAACAAAAGCCTCGTGAATTCTGATGTGAATAAATACCAGAGAGCTCTCACTCGAGCGGGGCTCCTGCAGTCATTAAGTAAAGCTCTTTTTACTATTCACACCGTGGATCCAAACAATTACAGCTGCCTGTGAACTGCTTACAAACAGGGAAGGGAACTGTTTGTAGAGCTCAGCTCATCCAATCAGGCAACAGAACCATCTCATGGAGATACCAAATCACAGGGACAAACCATGAGGGCCTGATCCTGACTCCCTCAAATGCCTCTTTTCATGTTTCTGTCAAGGCAAATAAAACATCAACATTTTAAGATCCCTTTATATAATGCTGGCACAGCCTAATCAAGCTGCTGGGAGGCTGTAACACCTTGGTGCTGCCAGAGGCTCCAGCCACAGGGATCCTGTAAGAGCTGGGCTGAAATCCTGCTCAGTGTTGTACCCGGCTGTGCTCCACGGCCTCCCATGCAGGCCTAGGGAAATGCATCCCATAGGAATCAGCTGAGGGTGCTAAAGGGCCAGGTTACTTTAGCTAAAAGTGCTAAAGTAACCTGGCATGTTTGCCCTCTTGGAGGCTCCTGTGGCAGAAGGAGAGCTGGTGCTCCGGCCTCCCCAAAATTACCCCTCACCTTGGGTGGAATCGTTGCACAAACAGAACCCAGGATGGGCTGGATTTCAAACCTGCTGTTTGTGCTCATTTGTGGCATTATTGACCTTTCATAACTCACTGATGGTTGCTTTTCATCCCATCATTCCCTTTAAGAGATTGTCAATAACTCTGGAAATAAATCAGGTCTCTGGACTGAGGCCATTTTCCTACTGTAATTAAAGGAGAACAGGAGATCCCTTCCATGCTTCCCCACACACCCTGTTGTGTCCTCTGGCTGCACTGGGCACAACTGAACTGCTCTGGGTTTGGAGGGGTGAGTTAAAGAAAAAAAACCTGAACAAATCAGGGTGGGCTCAGTTTTCCAGCTTTGCTGAAGCACAGGCAACCGGAGAGAAGGAAAATAAGTCTTTAAAGAGAGGCATCACAACCCCCCCACCACGGGGCTTGGAGCCACTTGGTCTCTTGGAAGGTGGCCCTGCCCTGCAGGGGGTGGAACAAGATGAGCTTTAAGGTCCCTTCCAACCCAAACCAGTCTCACTCTGTGATTCTGTGAAATAAGCACTTCTGCTGGTACCAGGCTCTGTTTCTCTCCAAGGTCAGCTGTCTCTACCAACATCAGTAAATAAATCCCTCTCCTAAATGGCCGTTCTAGAAATTTCCATTTCATGAGTCAGCATGGGGCAAAACCAGCCTTTCAGTCTCTCCTTTCCCAAGAGCCATCCCTTGTGCCCCATGGAGTCAGAGCAGTGCACTGGGCTTCTCCCCCAGTCTCCAGCCCAGTCTCAGACTCCGTGTTGGAAAATCGTCAGGAATGAGCTGCTGCCTTTGGTGAGGGTTCACAGGGTCTCTCTTTTTAAAGAGTTTGGCTGGAGATGGGAGTGGCTGCAGAGCCAATGGGACAGGGAGGTGGTGGCAGGTTTTTCCCCACAGAGAAGCTGCAGAGCCATGTCACACGTGGAGAGGTCCTTCACCCTACACCACGAGGGCAACCTGAGCTCCCAGGACAGACACCACCCCCCTCCCTGTCAGCTCTGGAAGTGTGAGGGGGTTTGGGCACTGCTCAGGTAGAGCCAAGGCAAAATGAACCCTGAGGTCTCTCCTTAGTTTGAAAAAGGAGGCCAATACCCTTGCTAGATGTCCCAGGTAGTTATTGAGAGTCCCGAGGTTGTGTCAAGCTGTGTGTTTGATACAATAAGCACACAAAGAAATGCTCCTTCTAAGGAAAAAGGCAGAAAAGAATAAAAGAAAAGGTTGTTGGGTGATGAAAAGCTCAGACTTTGCATCTCCCACCCCGGTTCCAACAGGCAGGTGAGTAATCAGCCCATGATTTGTGGAAGTCCTTTAAGAAAAGAGGCCACTGCTGGGTGTGTGAGTAACTAATGCTCATTTGGTTTGTGTTTGAAGGCAGCAGCAGCAACAGTGATGACACAAATTAATTGCTTGGTTTTCAGGAGCTAATGCAGACGAGGTAAAGAGAATTACTCCACGATTAACATAGTTTCCAATTAAAGTCCCCTGTAGTTACCCAAAAACATTAATTTCTAGTAACTTGGTAATTTAACTTCTGTCACCACTATACACAAGTGTACCAGGGCATCTTGTGGGCTTGTCTGTACTTCACCCCTGCACAAAAATCATGAAGAAAACCCCTGAAAATAGCCATTAATTTTTAACAATTACTTGTAGCAGGCTTCAAATAAAACCCGCTGTGTTTTTTATCCTTTGTGGTAAACTAAAGGATTTGCTTTATTTTTAATTTAAATTTAGATTTAAATTTAATAAGATTTAAGAATTTAAAAATAAGATTTAGATTTAAATTTAAATTAAAGGACCAAAACCCAGCTGCTGTTCTAGCACTGCTATTTTTCTTGTCCCTAGTCAAAAAGGGGGAAACAAATTCCACTATTTAAATAAGTTCAGCAAAGGTATTTCAACCATTACATTTCTTTATCAAGTTGCCAAAAGCCTGGGACAATTGAAATCTCTTATTTCACCCTTCCAGGGAAGCTTGCTGTTGGGATGGAAGAACTACATTTCTCTTTTTAACAATTCCATATTACAGCTTTTATACTTCCATTTTCATTATAATTCCAGACCCAAGGTCATTCCTGCAGACATTAGGTGGGTCTGTGCATGTGGGATTATTTCAATGTACCTGAATTCAAGTGGAGTTGTGGAAGAAGGGAAATTCCTCCTTCAGTTCCCATCTGAGCTAAAGCTCCTGTTCTGCAGTGGGATGGGTGGTCCACGAGGTACCTGGAAGTGCACAGCACACAGAGAGGTACAAAGATTCCTGGATATGGAACATTCTCTCCAACTCCTCTCCCCCTCAGAGAACATCCATTACATATTTGTAAACTGCAGTGCTTCCCTCCCTCCCTCCTTCAGCTGTACAGTAACAGAGCCACAGAGCTCTGAGTTAAATCTTCCTTAAATCCATCCCTGCAGGCTCCTGATGGTTCTCCCTCTTCTTCTGTGCATTCTAATCATTTAATGCCTTCCTGGTGGAAAGGGAAGCAGAAAGGAGAGCATCAGTGACACCAGATTACACCAATTATCCCCCCCTGCTCTGTGACAGAAGCTTTTAATGATGCAGCATACGATTGCTTTGCTTTTTTAAAATGTGAAAGCAAAGTACAACTTCATGTCTAATTTCCTGGCCACTGTCACCCAAAGGAACCACTCAGAGGGTTTGCATTGTTTTTGCTAAAGCTACATTACCTTGTGCTCCACTAACCAGGAATTTCCTCTTTTTAGTTCTCACTGACATTCACAATTCTCCTCATTTTGACATCTAAATTTCATAAATATGTTGTTTACTCCCTCTTCTGGGCTATTAATGAAAAATATTAAGATCAAGCCAAACATCCTCACACACAGCTTAGAAAAAGTAATATTATTCTAATTATTAGTAGGATTCAGCAGTGCAGAGGTTACTAATTTAGACAAATGTTATGTGGGTTTTTTTTAATCTTGAAAACAAGTGAACACAATCTCATTTTGGCTTTTTGGAGTATTAATTAATACTGCTAATGCACACACAGACACAGACCTGATTTAGTTCTGCCTGAAATCATAAAAGGTGCTTTAATGAACACATGTGATGCTTATTATTTGAATCAGCAACACTTGTGCCTCTGTGCCTGAACAGCACTTAGAACAGGTAACATTTGGTTTACAACACAACAATAAAATCTGCCTTTATTGCAAATAAACAGAGTATTCACACCTTACAATATTGTTTTAGATGCAGGATTATACTCACTCTTAGAGGATCTAATATTAATATAAAAGGCACATGCACTTCATGTTTCCACACCTTTTTTATTTCCTAAGCAGCGTTAATATGTCTCTTAAATATTGCATTTACTTTGTTAAAACATTAAACTATTTCTGTACATTTGTTTGCAATCTGAGAACACACACCATCAAGTAATCATTTGTACAGTAACAACATGTATCAAAACAAAAAAATCATAATCACAGCCCAGAATTTCTCACATCCACCCCCCTTTGCTTTGATTTAAAAGCTGCACTAGTAGGAGAAGCCTCACCATTATGGTAGTTGAAACAGGAAACAAACACTGCTCTCCTCTAATAATTGTCTGGAGCTGCTTTGATTGGTTGCAGTTAATATTAATAGTATAACCTTTAAAAATTGTGGGGAAAGGTAATACTTTATCTTCTCTCCTCATATTAAGGCTCCAAAGCAAGCTTAATGAGAAACCATTAGAAAATCATACTGCTAAATAGTACCTTAACTCACAATTCAGCCTATATAATTATGTCAGGATTGCAGCTGACAGTGACTCCCGATCCATCAGCCTCACCTTTCCTGCATGGAGCTGCGCAGGATGCGTCAGGATGGCAGCAGGAACTCCTGCTGGGGCAACACAGGGGGGACTTGGACCCCTCCCACAGGATACAACTCCACTTCTGCTTACAAACAGGAATAACATGGTCTCCAAACCTCTGGATATGCATCCAAAACCCACCAGGACTTGGCCTGGACTGAAGGACACGAGGGCCACAGGGTGGGATTTAGGGAATAGCCAAGGTTTGTAAGAGGGGAAGCCCAGGCTCACCTCAGCACACCTCATTCTGAGCAAAGAGTGAGCAAAACTAATCAGTACATACATTAGTAAATGACATTTTAAAGACAATTAACATATAAAACATTATCATTTTTATGAAAATAGACCAATTTGACCCAAGCTTGCCTTTCTGGGGGAGGAGGACATGTACATTTTTATCTTTTAAAAGGCAAGTGTTCTCCTGGACAGCTGCCGATAATCTCGTGGAAAACGTCCTTAAAGCAAGACAAACTCCTCTGTACTAAATCTTTTTAATCTCTTCTTTTCATCTTCAGAGAAAAGGTCATTTTCTTCATGGAGTGGACTAGAAGCAAAGTCATAGTCTTTAGAATGACCCTTGACAAAAGTAAACAAGGGATATTTCTCCTTGGATGAAGATTTCAGCATCTACAATGTAAAACACAACCCCCAAAAAAATGTTAATTGAAATTAAGAAATTCAGTAAGTAGTGATATTTCTCTGATGATGACTGCAAAGTAAAAAATGCATTGGTTGGTTATCTTTATTATCTCATTAAAACAGAAGCATTGCACCATCTAAACATCTCCTCCTCCTATTAGACAAACATTTACTTCCATTTCTTCTTCAGGCCTAACCCTGTATTTTGTTCCTCACAGATCACCTGTACCTGCTGTTTGATTCAGTGCAAGAAAGATAAAGATAAAAAAGATAAAAGATAGAA